CTATCTATCTATCTGTCTGTCTGTCTGTCTGTCTGTCTGTCTGTCTGTCTGTCAGTCAGTCAGTCAGTCAGTCAGTCAGTCAGTCAGTCAGTCAGTCAGTGGTAGCAAGAGGGAATGGAAATGTTTTTCTGTACTTACTTGCAATTATAAGTTATTATTATTGCTTCTGGTTGTATAAATATTCTAAACATTCAGTCCTGGTGCCATAAAAGATTATCATAATAATTCTATGAGTTTCACGAATTTTGGTGCTCAGTGTCAAGTTTGAAGGGTCCATCTACCCTAGATTAACATTGCAGATGGATTCTTGCCAAAAATAGAATCATTATGGTAATCTTTTATGGCACCAGGATGAATGTTTAGAAAATAGATGATAAAATTATGTATTCAAAATGGAATACCCATAGAATCTGAACCAAAAAGTAAAGATGTACATAGAAGAATCCTGTAAATACTTACAAATTTTATTTTTAAAAAAATCAAATACTTCTTCAGAGAGAGACCTCCACTAGGTAGCTTAAAGTTGATTGATTCCTACCCATGGTAGGACTTGCATTTCCTTGTCCTTTTAACAAAAAGCAACTACTAAACTTATGCAATTATTACTTTGCACAATCTCTATTTACATAAATTTGCATGATCACACTTGGATAAAATTTGCATGCAGGCCTCAAATATACTGTTTAATGGAGAGCGTCATTTTTGTGAGTTGATAATGTATTGCATTATATCGTGTACTGAAGAAATGGAAAGGAGTCAAGGACCTCATGGTAGAGGTTTATAAATTGGAAAAGGTAACCAGAGAAAGGGCTGGGGATGGTGAATGCTAGTGTAGGGGACATTAAAGCATTTGAAGGTTGGGGAAAATAAAGAGAAAATGTGAAAATAGCACACTGTGCAGTAATCTGGGTCTTAAATAAAAGAAAAGGACATTTATGGGAATGAATATTATAATGTCAGTCCCCAAAATTCTACAACTGTCCAAGTTCAAATGGATGGATGAAAAAGAAAACATGATCTCTCTGTACTACCGAGTCCAAACTTAATAAAATATTACAGACCTGGCATTAGTGTCTTTTCAAGAATGTAGGAATTGACACAGAGTCTGCTTTGCACCTCATGATGCTGCAGAAGCAACTACTGTATGCCAAACAAACAAGGGAGGCGTGAATTCTTCTCAACTCTCTTCCATGAAAGGAGAGGAGCTGTGACTTTCTCCCTCACAGCGGATATAGAGGGATTTGAGGAATACAGTAGTTACCACACCATGTGCCAAGAAAGCTGTTCAGCCAAAACACAAGTCAAAATCAAAAGTAATGATTTAAAACATATTTAAGAAGTTGCTCTTTTGCTTTAAAAGTTTGATAGAACAAGTTGGGAAAGAAAACAAAATACAAAATGTGTGCTTGATTTTCTTTTACATTTTTTTACATTTAAATGTTTTACTGGTGAAGTATAGCAACCAGGAGATATGATGAAGTGTGTGCTTTAGACCAGCAGTTCTCAAACAGGCACCATAAGGCCCCTTGGGGGCCCTAGGATATTTCCAGGGGACCACAGGTGAAAAATATATAACAGGGAGGCCACAGCATGTGCCACAGAAAACCAAAGTACATTATACTGCAAATACTACTTGTTGACGCCAGAAAAAGAAAAGGACATTTATGGGAATGAATATTATGATGTCAGTCCCCAAAATTCTACAACTGTCCAAGTTCAAATGGATGGATGAAAAAGAAAACATGATCTCTCTGTACTACCGAGTCCAAACTTAATAAAATATTACAGACCTGGCATACCCTTCCCATGACTGTATCCGATAATGGGACCTGGACAGAGGTGGTTACAGGAGAAAAGCAAGGTCTAAAACGCTTCTTTAAATGAAATAGTCTACTATACTGACAAAATGATCCAGGAATAGAACCGCACAACTCAATATGCAGTAAAATCCTGCTTAGGTCAGCCAGATCTACCCATTGGTTAACACTGAACTGGGTTAGCCTCTGGGTGGGCCTATCTACCTGAACTCTCTTTTTTCTGTAAGATCCTTACAGAAAAAAAAAATGCTAGAACCATCGTACAAAACAGATTTGCAGAAGAGGATCTTAAAGAGCAAAGGAGTGAATTTTGATTAGGGCAGTTTATCATGTAAAGCTGAAAAAAGCTACGATTACTGACATCGGTTGAGGTTCCCCTCAAAGATTATTATTTGCATCAGGCTAATCTTATAACCTATATTAAGTAACATGTGTATCAACTACTGTAATATACAGGAAGTAAGAGAATGACTAGGCCAACATATAGAATTAATCCATAATGTGGCTTGTTTGGTGTTGACTTCATGTGAATCTAGCCACTGTGGCTTGTGAAGAGTGCTTTCCGGCTTACTATGTTACACAAATCCAGCCAAATGTGGCTTATTTAACAAATCATGCTTGTGATATGAGAACTCAGCTAGAAGGTACAGATATGTACAAGTTATCTATTCCTTGGTTAGTTTTGTACAAGTATTTATTTCCTTTGGCCTGAACAATAAAGCATTATTGATTGATAATTGATATGTGAATGCATGTCCATCTTATGTAGGTAGCCATGCTTGAAAGAGCCATCTGAATAAAGATGCAACTTAATTCAGACTAGGAAATGCCAATATTTACCTTGTTCCAAAAGACTGGTGAACTGGTGATAGCAAGTTGAGACTTGCAAGCTCGATAAGATAGAGTGGGCAGCCTGAAGGCCAGACAAGGAGACCGAGAAAGCCTCTTTTCCAGCACAGCCTCTTTTCCTTTCCCCCTACCTTGAGATGATGTTGTTCTCCTTCTCAATTATGACAAGGGCTACCACAAAGACCAGAAGAATGGCGTACTTGCTCTTCATCCTCAGGCGGTGCAACAGCTCCCAGGCGTCTTGAGGCATTGTGAGAACTTTATCCATGGGAAAAGAATATATTGTTCAACAGTTTGCCAGAGAAAGTTCCCTCACGGACGGAAAATAAAACCTTCCTTGTCTTGTGGTTCTTCAGCAGTATGGAAAACAGTGTCGGGGATTAGTTTCCCGTCATCTGGAGATGTTGTCCTGCAGAAAGAAAGAGAAGGTAGAATGGATTGAGCGTCCTCTCATTAGGTTTAGGGACAAATAAATAAGTGCATGTGCATTCGTGCCTTTTCTTAGACAATTGCTGGCCTCGCAATTATGCTGTGATTTGCATTCATCCTGATACGTCCACTAATTTACAGTGACTGAGTTCATACCTGTCAAGCTACCAACCATGCTTTGCATATCACAAGGGATGGTTTCGCACAGTAAGTTAAACCACAGACCAACAACATTTTGACCTTTCCCCTCACATGCTTATTCTTTTATTTATATGGAAGGGTTTTTTTTGTAATACAGCTGACTATTACAGCATGCAATAATACTAAAAGCTGTAACCTGATCTTGTTGGTTCCCCCACTTCTGTTTTTCGGGGGGATGTTTTCCTCATTAATTTTCTCAGAATCAATGCTCTAGCTTTCTCATCATGGCTAATAAAATCATTAGGCATGGTAAAGCAGCCGTTAATTAAGAGGACAGTGCGTACTCTAGCAATTATATGTTTCAGATCTTCCGCAAACTCTCAACTATTCATAAAAGTAGCTCAATTTTTTTCAGGCTTTCAGTGGGAACCTGGGGGAAAAAAAGATGCTGCTGCTTTAAGAGTCAGACTGCCTTCAATCAATGGTTTCATTAAAACAGCTACTGGAATGGAGAAACAGGCAATAACATATGGCAGAACCAATAGTGGTCCAGTATACTTTACACCTAAGACAAACTTTTCAAAAGAAGCAAAAGAAAACAAACTGATTCTTTTTAGATATATTAACTAGTATGTTTAAAGAGAAAATGATTAATCATGATAATGTTAAAGTTGCTACCTCTGCGAAAGAGACACCATGAGCTAGTAATTACCTTCTAGGGAGCATTTTGCTCCAACAAACAGAGTGCAGTGAAGCCTTTTGTGTCTCTACAGCCAGATTATTCCTCCCACCTTTAGCACTTCCTTGAGGAATGGAAACAGACAGCCTTCTCACTTGGCAATACTATGTCATAAACCATGTCTTAAAAACAACAGTAGCTGGATACACATATTGCACCAAATTAAATCTAAACAAGCCACAAGTTTAATGTAGATGCCCCTAACTTTCCTGGATTTGCAGGTATAGTTGAAATTGTGAGAGCATATAGTGCAGATTTTGCAAAACAACTGGCCACAGTGCACATGTTCAGACATCAAAAACCTCCTTACCAGGAGACAGATGAAGATGATTCCTACTGTTCTGTTTAACCCATTTAAGATACTTCCTACCAATTCCAGCTTATTTTTTCTTTTCTTTTTTTACCAGGCAAGTACGTTGTCAAAAAAAAAAAAAAAAAATTGGGTTGAAGTCACATTTTCATTTTTCTAAGGATGCTTGTGGACTCTATGTAAGGCCCAGAAGCATTCTTGGAAATTCAGACAACAATAGCTGCACTTTATTTTGTAGTGTAAGGTTTGCAACCCTGAATCCCAGAGAAATCCAATGCCAAGAATTCAGGAGGAGGCTCTTAGAAAGAAACAGCACTTTATTCGGCCGAGTAAAGGAAGCTGGTGTGATGGAATGGAATTATGAAGGCCAAGCTCAGGGAGATAAGCATTTTCTTAGCTC